CCCACATACCCACATGACATGTCTGTATTTTCAGAAATCGGATATGAGAGAGCACTCAATGAGTGAGTCAGTACTGAGGACATTAAAATTTAATACAGATACAGAGCAGCTGGGAAGTGCAGTCAGTGATACCTGAGTGATCCAACACCGGAGCATGTGGTCTAGACTAATCGTTAGTCCAGTAACACACTACGATTATATAATCTATATCAGTCGGTGAGTTGTTGTGGAACTACTAAAAATATTCACAAACTGCATCGGAAATAGCATCGTTGCTGCAAAACAGGGGGCGGGGGGGGGATATAGAATGGAGACCAAAGATGTGTGAGCGTGAGTGTGTGTGTGTGTGTGTGTGTGTGTGTGTGTGTGTGTGTGTTTGTGTGTGGGTGGGTGTGTATGTATTGTGTGTGTGTGCCGGTGGGTGTGTATGTATTGTGTGTGAGTGTGTGTGTGTGAGTGTGGGTCTGTGTGTGTGTATGTGTGTGTGTGTAAGAAAGAGACAGAGAGGGAGAGAGAGAGAGAGAGAGAAAGAGAGAAAGAGAGAAAGAGAGAGATTGACAAATAGAGCGAAGGAAAGCTGGCCTTTTGACCCAAACTCACATCATAATATTAATCTTATCAGTAACTGGAAATACAGACCGCCAGCTGTGATTTCATCCTGTAAGCAATGCTAACGCTGTTATTCAATTACACACACCCATAGAAAAAAACCCAAGCCCACAAATCATCGTACAAACAAATTAGCCAAACAACGCCTCTCCTAACCGGTTCCATCAAGTCTAAACACACCTTTATTTGTTGAGAAAACACAATTTCTGAGAATACACCTTTTCCAAGAAAATTAAGGCGACATGTTTATTTGTTTGCTTGTTGTTTGATTTTTTTTAATTTCGCGCGATAAGTCGTAACTGGAAAATGTTCCCGTTCTTTCGTGAAGTGATACCCACCCAATCCGTGAGGCGTTATATATCGTTATAAAATGTTTTTGGGTTTTGTTTTGATTTGGATTGGGGGTTTTTCTTTCGTTTCGTGCGCACGCGTTCACACCGGCATCAGCGGTGTAGTGGTTAGGCTATTCACCGTAGCATGCAGAAGATGACCGAGTTCAATTCCTGAGTGGTGAAGCGTTTTGTCTTGTTATATTTCGGCATTATTATATCAAATTAAATCGAGGATCTCCGCCTTTCTGCAAGGATGTCGTACTCTACTCAGTCTGGCCAGGCAGAGCCGAAGAATCCAACTCCCTAAATGATCTTAATGATAGTGTTAAAAAAAAAAGAAAAAAATTGTAAACCTACAAGACGGTAGAGTGTACCTGACTCTCGGCACTATCCACAGCATGCGGTCGGGTTGACTTATCAGTGATGACAGATAAGCACAATGTAATTATATTTTAAATGACATTCACACACACACGCGCGCACACATACACACACATACACACACACACACACACACACACACACACACA